AGATTTGCCAGATCAGCACGCCAAAGATACTGGTTTCTAATTTGAAGTTGTCTTATTTGCAGAGGATGAAGGAAAAGCATATCTAGTGGATCTTGGTGATTCAGAGGGAGGAGAGGAAAAAAAAAAAATGTCTGGCTGATGTTTTCACTGTGCTGATAGTTCTGCTCGATCTCGTTTGAAACACAAGGTGGGTGCTTGATCTGCCTTTCTGCCAGCAGCATTTGCCCTGCACCCATACTGTGCTGTAAGAAGTACAGTGGGGAGCTGAGGAGCTGGTTCCACAACTGTACAGACATTGTCTGAAAGCTGGTGCAAGTGTGTTAGTCTGCAGCCACAGCCCACCTCCTTTCCCCTTAGCAGTGTGAATGTAATAGCACATAACCCACACAAGCCATCTATACTGCAAAGAGTAAGGTGATCTTGTAGGCTGCTGACAACTGCTTACTTTTGTTCAAAGATATAAGGATTAGATTAAGCAAATGAAAAGAATAATAATCTGTTTTAAGGAAATATTAGCGTGTTTTGTGTGTGTGTTCCTTTAGGATAGGCACAGAAGTTTTTGCTGTGAATGCAGCACATAAGGAGTAGAGGATCACTAGATCTGTGCTATCTTTCTCTCAGCAGTGATGTGCCAGGTGTTTCTTAGAAATTACACATCTAACTGAAGTGAAGCCACATACCTTTACGTATTTATCATGTTGTTTGGGAAGTTTCAGAGCCCACCTCTGTGTGTGGCAATCCATAAAATGGCCTCATTGAGATTTTTCCAAGTAAGAGAAATTCATCAAAGTACATCTTAAATTACTTATTATGGCATCATCTTGGGCTAAAATGAGAGCTCGCATCAGGAAAGAAGCTGTAAGGGATGGGAAGGCTTGGGAACTGCAAGATGACACATGTTAAGTGTAAATAACACTTCCAGTTTCCTAACTGCTACCTTTCCATTACTGCTGTTCAAATTCATTAAGGTGCTATGCTGTCTGCATTGTATAGATGAAGTAAAAAAAAAAAATGTTTGTGAAAAATGATAGACAAATGCTTTTTACATTTCTTATTTCACTATATGCTTGACTTGAAGACTCCTGTAATTATTCTATATTTTCTAATGCTTTACCTCATTTCTAACCTGGTATTTTATTTCAGCATAGGACTCCAGAGCAAGGGGACCCCAGCTGAGTTTTACGGTACCTGTGGAGCAGGCTGATACTGCCACCTTGGGGAGGACTCTCTCCACATACTCTGAGGAACCTAAGCAAGTGTCATATAAATCAGTTTGATTTTTTTCCCTGTCATATCCTCCCAGGAAGACAACTTCTTAAAATCCTCTGCCTGAGCTGTTGTAAGACCTTCCAGATGTGTCCTAACTCGGACTGCATTACATTCATAATAATACTTGAAATAAATGCCTTTTTTTGTGGGCAAGTTTGCTTAGCCAAGTTTTAAATATCATTTAAGCAGTACCTCATTTACACTACTCAGTTTTACAGCCATCTTGACAGCATAAAAGTCCTGTTCTTCATCCAGCTGGGCAAGTTGTATTTTGCATACAACACTCCTCTGCTTGAGATTTTAGCTTTCTTGGTAGTTCAAGTCCTTGTCCACGCACAGCCTAAATTATCTCCTTGGCAGGCTACTGGCTCAGTTGGATGTGACCGCTAGGACATATAATATATTGCCTCAGATGTCTTGAGAGCCATTACTGTGCATAGGAGCAGTCTGATGAAAACTACAGAGCTAGACTGACGATTTAACCAAAGTCAAGACTTCCAGACAAATTAAAGGAAGCATCTGGATTTTATCTTCACAATATCCATAGTTTTAGGAGACTTATGTACCCTTTTGCTTTGCAAGTGAGTCACCTCCCATCCAGTCTTATTTGAGTTTAAATCCACTAACAAATGAAGGAGCCTTGCTATACACTTCATACATAAATATGCCTTGAGAGACAAAGGCTGCACACAGCACTGAGCCACAAGGCTTTTCACAGTGGAAACCATCAGTAGTTGCCTCGGCTACAAATACAATATGGGAAAAGATTAAATGTCTCACCTCTCACCAGAACAGGCAGGCTCAAGAGCAGGGAGTTGCTTGAAAGCAACTTGTCTATGTGCTCTTAAAAACATACAGCAACAAAATTATTACACAGCCATCCACAGCCAAGAAACACAAATGATGAACTAATTCCTGATGAACAATGTGAATTTCCACAAGGAGGCTGTGAAGGCACCGTTAACTCCTACCTCCTGCCAAAGCACTGGCTGTGCTTGTGGCACCATGGTGGGAGACAACAGGCTTCTAGGGGAACTGAAGTCTCACTCCACTGCTGAGGCAGGCAGGAACAGCCCCGGTACTGCAGTAAAACAATACTTACAGGCTCCCACATAGAGCTACGCTTTGGCTGGCAACATTCCCAGCAAGACTGGGTTCTGGAAAACACCTTCCCCTTTTCCTTTCACCACAGCCAGTCTACGTACCAGATTCTCATTCTCGCTGTAGTGACACGTATCTTAATATCCTTGGAATAAACATGTGCCTCCACCCATCCAGGATTTGCAGTCAGAGAGGTGGCCTATCTAACATTTCCTTGTGAACAGACAAGAGCTCACTCCACTCTTTTGTTCTATTAGTAGAACCTGGTCATTAAAGCACAAGTTTGTATTTATTTTCAACTAAGGCACAGGAGTTCAAATCAGTTACTTTCCCACTTGTGAGAAATTGTCTAAAAAGCAAGTGATAGGTCCTTTCTGGAGCATCTCTTTATCCTTAGTTTAATGTTACTATTGCATGGCAAAGAATGATGCTTACAAGAGAAATGTATCAAGCTAAGGAGCCAACAGCTAACACAAAAGACTGGCAATAGTGCAAGCCTTCAGTTTTCTTCCCAATTTACAAATAATTTCTGTATTTTAATCCATTTTTTTATTATTCTAATCTATCTTTGTTAGGCAAACAGCTTTAGATACTGCTTTGAAAATACTGCAATTATTTATTCATTGCAATAATAAGTGAAAGCACATATGCTCTTCACATGCATATATGAATACACATTCAAGACCATGCAACACAAAGTAATTCCAGTACCTCCATTACCCCTTTCACATAAAACTGCCGGTAGAACTCAAGTAACTTTCAAAAGTATCAAGTTCATACAATCACTAAAGTACCTGCAAAAATGGCACATGCAGCTGAGCTGCAAAAAATTCAACAGTGCCAATTACTGACCAAACATATTGGATTGAATGAGGATCTATCAGTAATAGATTAACCAGATTAATATGTACGTAACAGTCTCAGCCTGGTACGTTGCCACTTTTAGTTTCAAAGTTCACATATGAACTTATTTTTATGCTGCACACATGGTTTATGAATTAAGTCCAAATGAAAGAGGAATTTAAGGGAAAATAAGGTAAGTATTATAAGATTAATAACTAACTTTAATATGAAATTAATCTAAGTATTTAAGTGTAGACTGCTTACAGGAAAAAAGAACAAATCCTTGATCATTATTTAAAAAGGAATGCACAAATGCATGTCCACCACGTTATATTATGCTACAGAAGAAGAATACAATGCACATCTGGACTGATTAATAACTGCTGATAATAATTTCATAAGATGTCATTTTAAAAGGCATTCTTGAAACCAACAAAATTGATCATTGGAAAATCCACAAAAACCTCACTATGAATTCAGTAGAGAAGATGATTGTGTTCAGTATTCAATGTTGCTTGTAACAAAATTAGCATATTAATAGTTCTTGCATGTTTGGCTTTGTACTGAAGTTATTTCAAAAGACTGATTTGGGCATGGATTTAATGAGAGAGAAAGCTTGAACTGCACATGGAAGAATCTATATAAATTAATCACAGGAAATCCCATTATAAGAACATCTCTGAGTACCTAAACATAGTATTTAAAGAAAAAAAACCAAAACAAAACAAAACAAAAAAAAACAACAACAAAAATTTCTGAAGTTCAGGTTATCACTGAAAACTTAAAATCCACTACTTATTTGCCAATATGGCTTTCCATTTAAAACACCTCTGAATTTATTTATTTTGCCAATATTTCCATTAAGACGATTGTGCACCAAAACCCCTTCAGATACTGGATTACAGAAAAGTACAAAGAGAATGAGAGGGCTTTTTTATGAACAGTTATTAACTGGAAATGATACTTACCCAACTCCCCGCTCCATCCACCAGTCTATGCTTTTGTTTTCTACTGTGCCATAACTCTAAAAGTTTGCACAGTATATATTTCCAAAGCCTCAACTTCATATGCAGTTAGAACCTGCAGCACTAGCTATTTCAGCTCTTCTTTTTTTCATTAAGACATACTTCTTATATTTATCTGTATCAGAAAGCCCTTCCAGATTACTGCCTATTTCAACTTTAGTGGCAGCTGATGAGAGATGTATTCTAAGCTGTTCTCTGCTGTGAAAAAGTGCTCCTTTAAAAGCTACTTCTCCTTGACTATTTTTTTCCTAAAAACAAGTAAAGATTTACTTCCTGAAACATGGAGACTCAATAACAGCAGCATGTATGTCACCATTCTCTTCCTCCCCACCTAGGTTTTCTCTTTTTCATAACCTACTCTCCCTGGATGCCGATACAGGGTTGTTTCCCAACTCCTCCCTTCCTTGTTGCCTCTCCTTAGCTTTATCTGCTTTACTTATTCCTAAAACTATTCTCACATCTGATTCTGTGCCAGCTCTTCAGTTTCTGCCAGTGTAGGAGCCGTTTAGGTTGCTCTTGTACCTGTGACACTTTCTATGGGATCTTACTTTTAAGCAGCAGACTGCAAAGGACAGCAAAGATCCATCCTTGGATCAGTCAGAGGTATATGTGCTGTACTGAGTGCCTATCTATACCACACACTCAAATAATTTCAGGCAGGGAAGGACACTCAAAAGACACCAAAATTTGCAATTTTTTTGCTGGATTTTTCTTTATTTCTCTGAAACTGCTTATATCATTTGTTCTTCACTTAGTGACAGGTTTGTGGATAAAAACCTAGACAATGGCAGACAACAATGAGATGACCATCAACCTTGTCATCCTTGGAAGAGCTCAGACTGGCAAAAGCGCTGCTGGGAACAGCCTGCTGGGCAGCTCAGACTTTGAGAGTCGTTGCTGCCCAAGCTCTGTGACTATGTGCTGCAGCCTCGGACACAGCTGCCGCATTTCGGGGATTTTACGAAGAAATGGCTGTGAGCTACCTCTCCGTGTTCGTGTACTTGACACTCCCAGCTACCCTCACAGTGCTCTGAGCAAAGAGCAGGTGAGAAATGCAGTGAGGTCAGCCCTTGCTCGCAGCTTCGGAGAGGAAGGCCTGCATCTTGCACTCTTGGTCCTGAGGGCTGACTTGCCCCTGTGTCCAGATGAAAGCGACCACACAATTCAATTCATCCAGGTAACAAATAAATAAATAGAAGTCTCTTCCTTAACAGCAACTCTTTTGTCTTCAGGTGGCAATAGCTATGGAAGAGTTGACTGCAAGACTGAAATAGAGAAGTGCAGCTGAAAACTGGAACACATAGCAGTCCAGCAGCTGAAACACACTACTCACAACTCCAACACCACAGCTACACTTACCACACTAAACCTGAGAAAAGAGAGGCAAGAACTGCTCTCTTACGTACATGGGCTCAACCCAAAGTAATTTAGGAAACAAATTTGCCTATCAAACTAAGCATTTCTCTGAGAAATTATAGTTAATGCTTTATCATGACAGATCTAGTTTGTTGAAGAGAAATGTTATTTAAAGCAAGCAAAAGACAGGTTACCTCACTCTCCTGTACTCTCTATAGGACCAAAGCAGAGAGCGAGGGGTCCAAAATCAGAGAGAATCTGTCTGACCTGGGACAAGGATGCTCAGCTCTGTCCTGCACTGTCACTACTGTCGTATCTGTTGAAAAGAAAATAACTAGAAAGTTACCATAAATTTATTCTCACTAAGGAAAGCTCCATTCCTCTCCATCAGATGAACCATAGCAGTTAAAGACAAACTCTTTGTCCCATCACTTAGGCTGATGCATTTGATTTCTTTTTCTCCTGAATTTCTCAGAATGTCAGTTTTATGGGATACAGCAATACAGGAATTGCAGTTGGTGTTACATAGAAGTTAACCTTTCCCCCCCCCTACACACAAGGTGATTTGGTGATTTAAAAGAAAAAATTCAAAAGCTGTAAAAAGTGCAGAAATACAGATATGTGTAAACTACTGATGTAAACTAATGTGTGACACAGACATTTTTTAACTGGAGAATCCTATTAGCGGTTGTAAGAGAACAGAGAACTGCTAGTACTGTATGACCACATATTTCCACTGAAAGTGCATGTCAGTGTCTTGGGAAGGTGAAAAACCCCAGAAATTTCAGCAATTGCGATAGCATGAACAGGATTACTGACAGGAAAAGAACATATAACTGGTCTGTTAATGCATAAGTATGAGGTGGGAGTGGGGAAAAGCAACAAGAAAAGATAGCTATTTAAGATTTGTTTTTCATTACAGGAACTTCTGGGTCCCACATGGAAGGATTTCACTGCAGTTGTTCTTACCCATGCAGACAAGGCAGAAGAGGCTGGATTCAGTGAGGAATTGTACTTGCACAGTGCCTCAAGTACCCTGCTGTCACTTTTGAGCTCAGTACAGCATAAATACACTTTCCTAGACAACCAGAAGACCATAATTAAAGAGGAAAGAGCTACGGTCTTAAGAAAGCTCTTAAATTTTATAAGACAAAATAATTATCAAGTGCTTCAACTTAAACACAGCATAGAATAAAATTAGCTTTCAGGTGCTCATTTGTCTGTTTTCTATGCTAGCTAACATTTAATAGAAATAAAAGAGTAGAAGCCATCAACTGGAAAATTTCACATCCATACCAATATCTTTGAATACACAGTTGGAAATAACTTTCAATTACCAAACTTCTTGCTGTTTCATAGAGTACCTCATACTACTGTATCCAGAATCATAGCTTCAACCACAAAATCAGAACAAACTAGTGCTCTAAATCCCATTCCTAATATGTATGTGGCCACAATTGAGATTTTACACGACACCAAATTGTATCCTGCAGTTCATACAGAACAGATATGGGGTGGGGGGGAAGTTAAAAAATGCCCATTACTTCAGACTGTAAAGAAGCCTCTTTGCTCAGTTCTTCAAGCTTTCAGAACTTGCTCTAAATTCCAAAGTTCGTAAAGAGCTTTCCAGTATTAGAAGCCAAGATTTATCTACTGTAAAGAATTTCCTTACCTTGATTCAGGATTAGTTAGAATTGAGATTCTGAACTTCAAGAATTTTGTTTAATAAGACATTATTGGATATGTAGTTTACAATGCAGATAAAATAGCTTCCATGTGCTTAACACTATTTGGCACTTCTAAAAGAATGAATTGCTGTTACTTACACCCAGACGCATGAAAAAATTAACATAGTTTATAGGCACATACAAAACTCATTCGGAAAAGAATCTGTTCATCTATTGCACCTGTTCCTTTTAATTTTATAGCATTGTCATTTTGTTTTCTCTCCCAGTTTACTGGATAAAGTTCAAAGCCTGCAAAATTCAGAGTGGCAAAGTTCTTTTATTTTAGTGGTTAAAAAAGCGGTGTTTCAGTAGCCAGACAGTAACCAGTTAAATAAATATTTTATGCCACAATATTGGAAGTATCTTTTAAATAGTTCCTTCAAAGTTTTACTGTACATTGATCTAAAATATTTTCAATTATTAAAAAGTGTGAATTAAAAAAAAAATCATTTGAGGCTATTACCATGACTACTTCTACTATATTATTATGTATATAATAATTCTAACTGTAAAAACTGAAGAAGCTATTTGTGTTAACACCAAAGCACCTTTTGTATAAAATATCATTGCATAAAAATTACAGTAAAACAAAAAGTCAATTCCGTTTATACCTGTTTGAGCATAGGATATGGTGGGTTTTTTTGATAGTATTTGACTAGCTCTAGTAATCTATTTGCTATTCACTTTTTCCTAGTACTATATCATTTGAAAGGGAGTATCTAGGTGCACTATATAAAGAACTACTTTAGAAAAGCAACAGCTTAGATCTTACTGACATTTTAACAGCTCAACCATGGTACATGGAAGTATGTCCATTTGTTTATCTTAAGGCATAGAGTCACAGTTCAATCTTCCTATTACAACTGTTTGCAGACTACTAAGATAACACAGCCAAGAACAACATTGCAGAACCTTGCAATATATTGGAAAACTGCTTGAAAGAAGAGGAGAATAACTATTAAAAGGTGATTAGAAGAATTAAGACAACTGTGGTCTTCACTGACCAACTGCCAGTCCTGCATCTCTTGCAGAGCAGTTAGCATACAAGGAACATGGCAAAAGTTTTTCCTTATTGAGATGCTCTTGCTCCATAGATCCTCTAAACCATTTAGCTGTCCAGAAAATACGCTTGCCTGCCTGTAGTTCTACTATGAACAAGCTTTGGCAACTAGGTCTTGAGCAGAGTGGTTAATGAGTGTTGACAATGCTTAACCTCAAAGACAGTAAGCATGGTGAATGAGTGAATTGTGAAAACGTTAGAAGCACAACACATTTTGTACCTCTGAAAGAGGAGTCAAACAAAAAAGGTATTAGCCATGCACTTCGGAGGGGTAACATATTAATGTTTTTTATTGTGCTTGCATTACTTTCCATTTCAACATCTGAAAAAGCTTTTACTAAATGTTTATTTAATTCCGCTGTTTGCCATGGTCTCTGCCCTGCACACTCCTTTCCCTTTCACTTCAAATGGAACTCCTTTGTATGTAGCAATGCACTGGTCATCAGTATGAAGATCAGGTTGGATTTGCTCCCAAATCTTCTTCTTGGGATTAAGTTCCTTCTCGGGATCTCCTGTTTCAAAACAAAGAATAACCTAATAGCACACAACACAGAAGGTAGAGCAAGAGCTCTTGCATGCACACATCAGTGATAGCCCACCTAGCATCACTGCACACACTTTTAAAGGAAAAAAACATCACCTGTGATTCTCAAAATGAAAACTTTAATCAGAATTAGAGACTGCCTAGAAAATGTCTCCAGAGCCTCTCTCAAAATGCTGACCTTTCAGGGGAAAAACATGTTGCAAGTAACAGACCACAAATACTGTCACAAAAGGAAGAAACCAAATCATTGCCAGTTGTTGGTTTACAAAATTTACTAGAGACCAAAAGTATTCTTAAGAATTAAGTAGATGTGGACCACAGAAATACATGACTCTCCAACATACAGGATTGTCGGCATCTCAAGTTTAGCAACTTTTATAAGCAATTAATAGTAAGTGAATTTGGCAGGTGTCCTTACAGTTGGGAAATACTGAACTCAGACAAGAATAGTCCAAAATAAGGTTGCTGACATATAATTTTAGCCCCAAGTTTCAACATTGTTCTGCTACTTTTTCTACTATTTGATGACAAGCTCTGGTGCCTACAATAACAGAAGTATTAAATGTCAGCTTGTACTTCAGTAATTATGGCCTCAGTCTCTATATCTCAGCTCCCTGTTTCTATGTGTACATCATGACAAGCTACCTACGCCCTAGAGGTATTGGCAGTCTAACTATACTAGCAAATTTAAGGATCTTCAATGACCACAAAATGCAGGTTTCTTCTACTAATGCTTTGAAATACCGTTAACAAATTACATAGAATAGTGAAGTATTTCAGAGTGCTATTTTTCCTATTTTTACATAGGCATGAAATGCAAAGTATAGTAACAAAACGGCTAAGCTAAATAAGGTCTCTTGCTGTAAACATTTATACTGAATAAATTGCTGTCTGCTGATATGACCTAGAAAAAGCAAGACAACCAATTTGCTGTACAATTATTTTCTTTTCAAAGGTCAAGTAAATTTAATCTCTTAATTCTAATGCAATGCAGATTCCCTTAAAGAAATAAGATACTTCATTAAGAAAGTTATTTAATCATAATGCTGTCAAGGTGTTCTTGACCACTTGTGTGTAATACAGGCAAGACAAATTAAAAAAACCCACAAGACTTGTTTTAAATATAATTAGAGCATATTTAAATGCTGAAAGGGATCCCATGCTATTTCACTGTTGATGCACTATATATATACACACACATATATATACATATTTTTATTTTTATTTTTATTTTATTTTTAGTTTTTACTTGCTTGGAGTGCCATATTGGCATAATTCTGCCCAAATTATTAAAATCTTAAGTTCCGGAACAAACTAGAAACAAAAAACAAATCCTAGTAAATATATCCTCCCTGAGATGCTCTCAGAGCAGATAACAGTTCCTAAAGGAAAATAAGGAGTTCTCTAAGTAAGCAGAATGTCAAGTACTTTCACCTTCCACTACTCAGTGTCCCAAAACATTCAGGAAGAAAAACTATAAGGCTATAGGGATTTTAACATACATGTTTCTAGTAGCTGGTTGAAATTAATTACTGCTTGGTTTTCAGTTGTTCAGTTTACTTACATTCTCATTGCTTGCAAAAGTAAGTTACGTTTGCCTGTGGATGGGTCTAACTTCTGTTGCTTCTATATCTGTAACTATGCAAGAGAAGCAGACCAGGCCAGATTTCTCTGCTAAGCAGGCTGACCTTGCCAGAGCAAGATTCAACAATTTGAGTTATTTCATAACCACAGTGCACTTAATATTTAAAAGAAAACTTAGTAATACCATCAATAAATTAAACAGATTTAATTGCGCTTCTTCACAAAAATAAAAATCTTGCTCAATGCTCAAGTTCACGAACAAAGACAGACTTGGATTTAGACCAAAGTGAATGCATAAGAACTACTAAAACGATTAAACAGAATGTTAAATGATCCATTGTGCATTTCCTTCTCCCTCCTCAGATATAAAAAGCAAGTGATTTTTTTCAGTTAAAAAAAAACAAAAACAAAAAACAACCAAAACCTGACTTTTATTATTAAAAGAACACGCTTTGGATGTTAATAAGTTTCTTTGGAATCCTGCATCAAGCTCCTTTGGGATCTCTGGTGAGCTCATATTAGATTAGCATTGGCAATGATTTTAAATACTACCAGAGCTTTAGGCTGTGCATTTCCCTATGCTTTTTCCTCATTGCATTCCTTCTTCCCATAAAATATTCTTTAGAAGGTTTTCTATAAATAAAATAAATTTAAACTTGCAACGGTTTAATGAGCTTCCCACTCTCTTTACATAAAAAGGGCCAAGTAAGAGGTCACGCAGTTTGTTAAATGTATCATTTGGTCTAGCAGTTTAAATACTACAAAATAAATTCTCATGATAAGCAGGAAACCTCCCCACTCTGTAAAAGCTCAGTCACTATTGCAAAACTATCTCAGTGCAAGAACAGGCAAAAAGATGTGGTGATGTGTGACTTTATGAAATGTTAATACTACTTAGCCCACTGTGCAACTGCAGGAAAGTATTCGTACACCAAAGCTTTGATTAAATAAAACCTACTAAATGCAGACTAAGCACTGCGCTCCAGTCTTAAGAATTCAAGTGATAATTATTAACTCAATTGCCAGGGATTCTTAGACTAGAATTATTATTTAATTATGTAACTTTAACAGATCTGTGGTTCCTTCAGCATTTTTGCATTAAAAAAATTTGCCAAAGCAACAATTATACTGCCATTAGAAAAAAGATTTCACTGTTAGCTGTGAAAAATCCAAGAATTACTACTGTCTTACAGCAATTACTGTGTAGGAGGATGTAGTATTTACAGACATGTGATTGAATTATTTTTATATGGCTTATGAATCAGATCTTTGCCACTGAAGGTGGATAAAAATGTGATCAAGTTTTTCATACAAAGGCCCAACAGATGCTGAAGATTCATGTACTGGAGTATAAACAGTCTAAAAGTTCCCTTAGGGGCAATAATATCAAATAAACAAGAAAAGAACACTCTTCAAGACAACAGCATTCCTTATCAAATCACTCCTCTATGACACTCAAGATGGTTCTAGGAAATCTCTCAAGTTTCTGTAGAAAAAAAGGTCAATTGGTTTGATTCAAGATAGCACACGTTTACTTTGACCAAAATGACCAAGGAAAATTAGCCTGTATCTCATGGATATTTTATACGGTGGAGAGAGTAGGCTTAAAAGTAACTCTGTTCCAAGCTGCTTGATAGACAGCTCTGTGTGTTTTAGAGTTGCTTTATTGTTGTTGCTGCTTCTGCTGCTTCACAGGCTTTCATACTTCAAACGAAAATAAGAGCCAGCTGTCCTTTCTATTTTAATTTCAAGGCCTCAAACAGAATCTTAATGTTTTAAAATTACTCTTTAAAAAAAAAAGATCAGAATATAAATGGTTACAATTAAGCACTGAAATTAAATGACAGCAAGGATTCTACCCTCTTGATAGCAGCATCAGTGAAGTGCCATATTGCCTTTGAGGAAACAGCAGCTAAGAAACATGTGAGATTTTAACAGAAAAAGGGTGAGTGAAAGATACAGCCATGTAACTCCATTAAGAATTGAGAAACAGTTTTCTAGTCTCACAGTAAGTTGTCCCCTACTTTGCTGAGGAACAAAAGAAAAAAAGCAAACAGACAAACAACCCCCCCAACTGTTTAAAAAGGAGAAAAAAGCGAAAACAAACGCCAAACCCAAACCAAACCAGAAAAAGGAATTGGGCAAAGATGACAGGGACCAAACCCATCAAAAGTTCTTAGTTGCTTGGACAAGAAGGTAAGTGGCAACGATCTTAGTCTCTAGCTAAAAAAAATAAATTTTAAAAAACGACCAACCAAAACAAAACAAACAAGAAAACCCAAACCTACCAATAAACAGTATTAATATCTTAGTTTACAATGGCAATACGCAAAAGACAAATACACAACAAATTAAGTTACAGAAGCAGGTGCTATGAATATTATAGGCTACTCTTACTAATATGGCATTTCTACCCCTCCGATCCTCTCCATCCCTCCCTCCTCAAAAAAACCAAAGAAACAACCCTAGCCCAAGTTCTGACACTTTCATTAGTGGGAAATTACTTTCATTTCAGCACCGAGGTCAACTCGGCATAACTCTTTCCTCCAATTTCGCAAAAATCTACTTACCAGGAAAGCCTTCAAAGGTGATTCTATCCCCAGGTACTGCCCCAGGTGGGGGAGCCAGAATTTCCACTTTTTCTGGGGAGCTGGCACACATCACCATTGCTTGAGATACCACTCCTCTCATCTTTGCAGGCTTCAAGTTACAGAGTAGTACTGCCATGCGATTCTGCATCTTGGGGCAGGAAAACAGAAGGATGTGAGTACTTACATGCCACGTGCTTTTGGGCACTCTAATTACTTCATTATAAGAAAAGAATTACAATGAAGAGACCTTGACATAGATGTTGCATACAACAACAGATGCACAATTTTAATGCCTGCGCATGAGTAACAACACTTAAACCACTTAAGAGCTGGTCAGTGAACAGTGGAGTAAACGGTGAATTGTGACACACTTATAGAAATATAAAATGTGCAATTCAGAAATCCAGAAACCAGGTGATACATTTCACCTGCGTTCTGTCTTTACTTCTTCTGTACCACCACTATAGTCCACTTTCAACACAGCACCATTAACCAATTTCCATTTAATAATACAAAATCAAAAAACTCTACGAAACAGTCAAGTTCACAGACAAAATTTTCAATCTGTGTACACTAGCTCACTTGAATCTTAAATTTTATCTTATTTAACCCAAATGAAACCACCAAAAATGGCTGTATATACTGTGCACTGTTAGAGCAAAACCATAAAACCAGATTTCTCCCTTTGTTACTTTATTTTAATAAAAATTATAATAGTAAACCTGAGAAAATATACTTTGCTAGGTGAAACTGCCACACTTAAGCCTAGAAAACAAACCACACTTCCAAACTGAACAAAAAAATCAAACCCAGAACCTTCTTAAGAGACATATAGAAAGTAAGGAAGCCTTAATTCCCATACTTCTAATACGTGCCTCTCTCTCTCTCACTCTCCGTCTCCCCGCTCTCCGTATTCCTAAATTTCAGTCTTCATGCATTAAAATATAATCTTTAAACAAAACTGTAGGACTAATACTTAATAAATATCATATGATTAACTACTCTGACTATTGCATATTTTTCAAGCAGAACATTTTAAAAAGCAAAAAATAGAAATCTCAAAAAAACCAGTTATAATGCAAAATTGACCTTGCATAAAAAAAATTTCAGCCAGTGCTTAAGTTATTGCTATGAATATAAATAGCCCAAAACACAATAAATTGCTGTAAAATGTCAATGACTCTAGAATTTAAGCTGTAGGCATTATCTAACACAGAGCAGCAATTAGCAAATATATAGACAGAATAAAAGAAACAAGATTTCTGCATTGAGTACTCAACTTTAATTTGACTAACTGGAAAAAATTCTAACTTCAGAACATTGCTTTTTTATTACAGATTATACAATTGACAAAACCAGACTGCACTAATACAGAAATGGAAATCATCGTCTTCATCAGACTAACAGGATAGAAACCCAAACTACCATCATGACATTCCCTCCAATCACAGTGGCCTCAAACACTGCTAAATTACCACATCGCACACTGCAATCGTAAGTAGCTGAACTTTTGGTGAATTATGTCTGAATTACTTGATCTGATGTACACATTTCTTTAACTATATGGCAGTAGTCACATGCCAGGCCTTTACATTTTTGAACACTTAAAAAAACCCACAAAGATGCAAGCTTGCCCCTACTGTCCAACAAAGACTTTCCAAAATCAAAACCAGACACACCAACTAACTGTTCCTAACAAATGACCCCTAATTCTCTGTTAATGAGTACTTTGGATTTTTTTTTCAGAGAGAAAGTGAGTTAAAGAGAAAAGGCTTACTGGTGCTGCATTCTGTACACTTCATGTGCATAAGTTTATTTAGAAAGGCTTTTAAGATGCTTTTTTCTACACACTTTCTTGAGAGCAGACTTCTAAAAATAAGCAATTTTAATTTCTGCCCACTGTAAATCCAGTAACTGGACACTGCAGAACAGTCATTGTATTCAGTCATTTTATTCATTTCAATAACTTTCTGTGTGATAGAAACAACAATCAGTTTTAATTGACTCCTACATTACAGTCTTACTACAGGGACAGGGTGTGAATAGGGATTGAAAAGGCATTTGAGAAAACGTAGCTTTTCCACAGTAAGATCAACTCCTTTATGACCCATTTTGCAGCTGCTCTATACAACATTGCTTTAATTGCCAAGCTTGCCTTTGAATGCAGAAGCAGCCTTCAGTCAACTCCTCCCTTCCACTAATCCTCTAGAAGAGGTGTAAAAGGGAAATATAGCCTTGAAGTCTTAGGCTCTATTCCAGACAAGGAAGGAAAAATATGCATTTTGTATTCCACTGTTGTTTAAGCCACTCACTGCCAGCTAAGTTAAATTGACATACTCTTTGTTTCACTCCATGCCAAACACTTCAACAGGCTATAAAGAGAGTTGGAAGGCAAAGGTTTCAAAAGTTTGGATAGCAAAAAACATATGGATTCTCTATTAAATACTAGGAAACCTAAAGGTAAAGGCACATCTGTTTGGTTTAGGAGTCTACTGTGTACCAACAGCATCACAGAGGAGTCAGAATAAGATTCTGGGATAGAAGCACTGCAAGCAGAAAGGGGGATAAAATATTCAATTAGATTTGGGGTAAGGGTACTTCTCCATTTTCTGAAAAATGTTGTTAAGCATTACTTCCATTTGCATGTTATTTTTGCTTTCATGAATGCAAAAATCTTTTAGCAGAATGAAAACACATGCTATAAACAGATGAAGGTCTTAAGATACTTTAGGAAGAAAAAGGCTATCAGTAAATAACTTTGTCAATACCTGATCCAGAGGAACATGTTTCACTAAACCGCTGACAACAGTCCTTGGGCTTGTTTCACCAACATCCACTTCTTCAACATACAGAGTGTCTGCATCCGGATGCTTTTCAGCAGTAATAATGCAGCCAACACGAAGATCCAGACGAGAAACATCCACAGGTTTTGCATCACCACTTGCAGCAGCTGGCTGCTGTTTCTTCTCCTTCTTTTCACCTATTAAAAGAAAGGTCAGTTCATTAAATAAACATTAAAAAGGCATAAATTGCATATATGACTATGGCAAGTAAGCTGCAATCTCAGAAGTAAGTGTAAATCCAGTGTAAAACACAAAGAAAGAGTAAAGAGTTAGCACCTCTATTACTAGGTAGTTTCCCAGTGGAAAATCATCATACATACTTCAATTATAGATTGTTACTACAAGTAATTTTCACCTTAGAATACAGGTGTTTTCTGGTTTGCAAAGTGAAGTCATATCAAAATTTAAGTGTAGCTAACATGTATGTAAGTGACATACACGCTGTGCCAAAGGCCACTTCAATAAGCCTGATAGTACCATTTTAATAATTAGCAATAACCAGTAAGTCTTGCCATGGTGTTTCACCAGCAAAGGGAAACCAGACAACCGCAACTCATCAGATTACGAGTGCTTAACAACAGCTCCTGACTGTGGACAATGCTAAGTCACTGGAACTGCAGTGTTACAGCCAACATTCTCTACTCCCCAGGAATACTTGTGTGTGAAAATGCTCACAGGTTACAACGTTGCACTGATGGTGAGTCTTTATCCCATGGCAACGTAAGGTTTTGTTATTACTCACACATACTGTATAGTATAAAACAGCAGTGAAGCAACACTCCCCATACTAAGCTGCTTATTTCGAGATGAGCAAGTTACATCCAGTTTGTATTTAAGATTGTCCTGTTTAAAAGGCATTCAAGATTTGTTTAATGACTAATAATCTTTGGAGGATTAAGAAACGTCTAAGAAGTGCTTACTTAAAATAAGCATATTCTGTTATTCTTTTATCCAAGATAGCTCACATATTAATGTAAACTAAGTTCCTTTCTTCAGGGAGCAAAAAGAGGAAAAGCGGACACAGCAGGCAAATCGATTCATTAATCATTGCTCCAGTAAAGGGCTGAAATTAAATCATACATTCAGTAATAAAAAGGCAGTATTTTTTTTTAACATAAGCCATAGCACTTCAAAAATATTTCAGTTGATATATGACAAATAAAAGGCATTTTTAAAAAAAATTGGTTTATTGTTTGTTTTTAAATAAGGGAGTTCAGTCACAAAAGAAATTTGGTATGTATCCCATTTAAGTAAGAATCCGTAGCTTACTTGACAGCCTTCGCTAGCTTCAGTTACTTCAAAATTTTCAGACAGCACGACTTTTCCTACTGTGGCTGTACAAACTGTTTTTTCTGTGCCCAAAATGACTTGAAAGCACTTGCATAAATGAAACACCTTAACTGTCTACCACAGTTAAGAAAATGTGAGTACCTTTTTTTTCTACTTTCTCCTTCTTTTTCTTTTCTTCATCTTCACCTTTAATTTGCTCTTTGGAACCAGGAGATGATGCAACTGCTGCAGTTTGTGGAGCATCATCTGAAAACGACGCTGTAGAAATGGTTGCACCAGGAGGAACTGCAATCTGTTTTACTAAAATTTAAAAACACAGAAGTTAGAAGGGGTATCAGAACTTTGAACACTTGTGACATTTTACATTTCAAACATAGATGAGATAGTAGAGAAAACTGAAAATTTTGCTTAAATACCTAACCTACAACTGCCGAGTACAAAACACACATATAGATTGAGTTACAGTATGATTATGCTGATGAGTTAAGAACAATGTCTTTGACTGCACATCTTTTAACTGGGAAAAAGTGCTAAATACAAGAAAACATATAAACAAACACAACGTCTTTTTGTAGTTTATTTCAACATCTAGTTGCCTTTGCGACTAACTCCATATTTCTCCTTTGTCTAGTTTCAGATTCTAGCTACTACCTCTTGTCATACTGGAGACCATCTCAGAATTTTCTATGTATAAAAATAATTTTTATATTGTAGTCAGATTACTCCTCAATTTCTTTTTTTTCTTGTTAACTAAAGAAACTGAGCCTGAATGACCACATTCTAAAAAATTATCTGCAGCCCTAAAACAATCTGTTGATTCCTCACTTACCTTCCCTAAATTCTACACATTACCTTCATATTTCTCTTTAAACTGCTGGTATAGAATTCTGGACATCATCTCACTATCAATCTTATGAGATAAAAGCATAAGAATCACCTCCCTTCTACATTCTGCTGTTCTCAAGAATCTCATAAAGGCTTTTTCCCAAAACACTGTACTGGGTAAGCAACATCAGAGTGCTAGACAATATCATCTCTGTTCCCTTTCCCTCAAAGATCAGATGATCTGTTCATCTAATTTCTGTGCTCAACTACTTGATAGTGTCAAAGCTAATGTACACTGGTTTACTTCATAAGAAAAGATCTGAATGTAGTCCCATTACCTTTTGGATAAACTAGCTAAATAAAAGAAGATGCATGTCAAGTCAAGTATTAATTTCCTAGTCCTTTCCCATCTTGGAAAAATCTATATACCTTGAGACTTCTCTCTCAAGCAGAACAGATTCTGTGAAATATCCTGTATCTGTCAAGAATTGCTGCAGACTATCAGACAATGGAGAAATATAAACTGTTTGGTTTAGTACACTGAAGGACTTTATTCATACCCAAAAGAAAGAAAGAAGTCTTTTCGAAGACTGAATGTGTTGTTTTACCTGTAAAACCTTCAGTATGGTTGAATACTAGCATCCAGCTACGCTGGGTACTATCTCACTCAATTTACAATATGGACAGCATGGATAAGAATAGTAATAGCTGTTAAGAATAGTAATAGCTGTTGAGGGCAGAATTAGTTCTTTGGAACTAATTTTAAAGACAACATGCTCTATCTGAAACACTTCCATTTTGGTTTTTTCTCTCCTTTCCAATTAATAATATAATGAAGGTGTGAGCTAAATAGAGCTGCACAAATGAATGCAAAGAAGGAAAAACAGTGCAAAGAAAGGCTGGTCTTACTAAAGCATGGAATTGAGATTTAAACCACATTGTTTCTAATTTTATATTACCACAGATTTTCTAACAAGTCACTGCCCATCTGTACTTTGAACTATGGCTTGATTTTCCATAGGGATTTTTCAGTCATGGTAGACTAAATACTCAGTATTACGTATCAAGAAGTGTTAGACAGTCAGTAATTTCTAAGGTATTATAAGGAATTATTACCATCAGTCAAGTTTGAGGCTTATTACGAAAGGCACTTTACAAAAACATACAAAGAACCAGTTCCATGACTGATTTAAGATTTGGCATGTGTACCTGTTAGGCTTGCAGATTACTAAAATGTTGTCATAGGCATGGAACCTAGGAAAATCCAGGGTTTGTAGGAAATGCCATAGAGTAACACACAGAAAGATAAAAAACAAGAATTAAGATAGCACAAAATATCATCAAAATTAACTAGATTTATCTTGTATGAGGACAGAACCTTTTTCCCCACCTCCATTTCGAATTTCTGCCTGAATCAGCTCCTGCTTCAGCCCTTCAATTTCTTTCTTCAGTTTAGCATTTTCCACACGGAGTTTCTTCTCTTCTCGGAGAGATGCCTGCAAGACTAGAGTTGACACTTTATTAGAAACAACAGGCTTTGATAAGTAGCATTCAATATTTGGAAAACAGAGATTTTGTTTCTAGAGCAAAGTGAAACATGGCAAGCCAAACACCAAAAAAAGTGGAAACTTTCAAGGAGTATATCATCACAAGTGTTTTGGAATCCTTTTTTGTTGAACTAGACATTTATACAATGTACTCAAGTTACCTCTCAATAGCTTCTCAGTCTTCTAAACAGACTCAGGAGAAAAAATTCCAAGAAGCCTATTAGAAAAACTTTGAAGGTGTTTGTAATATGGAGCATCTTAATTCACTGATACCGGTATGTACAAAATACATAAAAGCAGTAACACATTCCTCCCAGCTCCCTTTCTTCCCCAAATGGAGTCACTTCCTATAAAATTTCCATAATCTGTTTGTGTCATTAATCCTTCCTCATTCGTGTCTTTTCTATTTCAGAATAAGCAGCTTCAGAAAAAGCCACAAACCACAAGACAGCGAAGCAGTGCTACTATTACATGCTTTATTTTGGAGAAAGTGAAACACGCTTAGAAGGCTGACAGCACCAGTGAAGTTGTCCATGTTCTCATTTTTTTCTCCTATGAGTATTTAATACTAACCATCTGGTTAACAAGTTTATCATAAGATAGATAATTCCTTACTAGCTTTCTCCTTGAGCAGAGCTACTTGTTGCTTGAGGTATTCAATAACTTGGTCGGCCTCTGCACCTTTCTGCTCCAGCCTGTTCAGCACTGCATTGTTGGCTGCCATCTTCACCAAGAAACGGGCTAAAAACCTAGACAAATAACAGACAGTATAAAGTAAATGACTTTGTAATGTAATCACTCTATCATGTCTTACCACATGAAGCAGTTCTAAAATCAGTGGTTGAATAAGAAAATTAGCTAAGTGAACAAGCCAGGCTCCCAACTCCTAATGCAAAGCCCAAACAAAAAGCAATGTTAAATGGAATCTGATGTTTGACAGCTGCTTTCAAGTATTTTGGAAAAAAAGCTACTTTTCTTCCCAGCTGCAGAAAACATGTTCTTCCTTCATGAAACCAAAAATATTCCACCTTCTCAGAAACGTCTGAATAAATCAGGGAAAAGAGGGAACAGGTTGGACAGCAGAACACTGTATCCTGGTTTTAGCTGAAAAAAGATGGATTAAGTGTACCCGGAATTTTATCGAGACTAAGAAAACAGAATCATCCTGTGAAAATTTTCAAAAAATTTTCAGTATATTCTGAATAAATTTATTAAAATACTTCATACATTGTGGTTGTGCATACATTGAGAATTTACTGTCATTTTACTGTTAAGCAGAATTCATCACTATTTTTATAGATTAATGCAACTTTCATTCAGGACTACACCTTCAGAATTATTTTAGCATGATTTTGATTGCCTTATTTTGTTTCCCCTGAAATGGAAGACTAAGCACTCAGGTAAGAAATTAAAGCAGCAGGAAACACAAAAGACCAGTAAAGGCAAGAGCACAAATAAACGCTGTTTAACCTTCTTTCAGATTCCTTTTACTGGGTTTCTCCAGTGTTCCAGAAACTAGCTACGCCTTGTGTACAGCTCTTATTTCTTGAAAGCTACCAAATTCGGTCTACTTCCTTCTCTGCAACATTTGTGTCTAACCATAAAAGTACCAATAGTGGCAACAGAATGATGAACAGTTACAGTCACTGGTATCTGCAGCAGATAGAGCTTCTACCTTCCTACTCAGTATCTAGATGAGGAAAGAATCTGTACTAACAGCTGCCTCATCTGTAAATCAAGAAAGAAAACTGATTATAGGTGGGAAGAAAAGACACTGCAGATCTTCACAAGCAACAGTGATGTAATTCCTGTGAATGTGCCCATCAACTGCAACAAAGATAAGAACCGGTAAGAAAATGGCAATCCAGATACGTGCATTGGCTTCTCTACTTGATTAGAGCCCCAAAATGCCTTTTCTCATATCAAATTGGCAGAATATTTCCTATTTTATTGCAAGATTATTCTGACACTATGACCTAAATCTGTTTGTAACATACAAATATTCTCTGTTGGGATTTGCAACAAGAGCCATGCTGAAGACAAAACAGGTTTAGAGGCAACTGAAAGGTGAACAGATGCAAACACACTCATGCCAGTGTCAACGTATCACCTTTGCTGCACTCTCAGTATCAACCTACTTTTGGTATCTGATCTTCTATTACAAAGAACTCAATTCTCCACAGTTATACTTTTTTTTTCCTCAAAAAGAAAAAAAATGGCAAAAGATAATGAATCAGATAATTAAAGTTCTCAAAGGAAAATTCACCAAGCCAGAGAAATATACAGTAGTCAGACTATGCATGAGTTATATTGCTCCTGCAAACGTGATGAATGAACCAACACTTTGCCTTCTTTGCAACCTAACACAGTTGAAGGCTGTTTTATGCACACTGCTTCGCTTAGAGATGCAAGAGTATTACTGCCCTCACACCTTCCACTCATCCACAACAGACTTTTCTTCTTAAAAAAAAAAAAAAAAAAAAAGAAACTCTAAAAGAGAGAAGAGCAGCAAAATCATCTTTCCAGGACAACTAAAGTAATTTCAGTACTCAAATTAATATCTACTAATAAGAAATTAATTTTCTTTTCATGTGCATTCTGAACAGAGGGGTTTAAAAAGGAAAACAGTGATTCCAATAAGTTCCTGATTTAGATGTTGAATGGAAATAGACATAAAACTATTATGGCACAATGCAGCACAGTACAAAGCCTGGGGTATTACTGTCTGCATACCAGTAAGATTTCTTGCAAGCTACATATTCTCTCAGGGGAACACAACACTAACAGTGGAAACTCTGCCAACAACAACAGAAACACTACTAAAACTTCAAAGTGAATAGAATTGGTACATTTTACAGGTTTTAGCCAAGTTGGCTAATGAACTGAAGATCTGGAAATGAAGTTACATGATTACAATGGGTAGACATTTTCCCACTTGTCAAATAAATTTCTGTAAACCTAGTATTATAACAATAACACAAAGAGATAGGTATTTCCGATACTAATATAAAGAACCAACAGGATAAAATGAACTGCTGCACAGGCACAACAACCCACAAAACTGCATCTAAGAAGGGCACATAATAAAGTCAAGATCCACCCTTTATTATAAAACACAAAACACATTAAAAACATTAGCACTGCAACAATCAAAGGTTACAGTCAATGAATTTTTGGATTCCTTTTAAAGTTTGCCCTATTTCTTTTGCCCTCCTCTTACCTTGACACCCCTCCACCCTGCCCTGCACCAAAAAACCCAAACCCAAACCAAACCACAAAACCCATCAAAACCAAAAATCCAACTCCCACTGGTGATAAACAAACTAAAATAGGAAAGAAAACCAGGAATAACATGATTCTGGTTTTTAAGCTATATCTTATTACAGACACATTCTGATCTGTTTTGCAGAAAATGTTCCAGAGGCCAACTGAAAGCAAAGGCACTTCATACAGTTGTGCCTAATGAGCTGCTTTCCCTTCAAGCAAAAAATAGTTCTGAAAAACAAGTAAGGAGCAGCTATATTCAGACCTTCTGAAAAGAGTAACCTCCTGAAGTTACCTGGTTGCTCAGCTAAGGGAAACTTTAATCTCAGACCTCTGAGGACTACTTTGTTACCCACAAGACATTGAGAACTGCTCCAAAACCCACTTGCTTCACTATAATGGAACTCAATCTTCAAATGGAAGTCTCAAGTCCTGCAGTTACTCACGAAGTTACAGATCAACACATGAACATTTTTTACTTTCTCATCATTCTAATTACTGATTAAAAGAGTTGCCTATCTTTAAAAAACAAACAAACAAACAAAGAAACAAAAAAAACCAAACACCACAAATAAAAAAAACAACCAACCAACCAACCAAAAAATCCCACAGGAAGCCCTGCCTCCTGCAGTCTTTTAAGTAGCTGCAGTACCCTCACAGGAAAAAATACAACATTATTCAACTTTGTTTCTCAAGAGCACATAATGTGGAAGAGTCCCCAAAGTGGCAAACTCTCTATAATAAATCAAGACTTCTCATGGAGTACAAACTACCTCAAAATTTCAACATGTTTTACAAATACTGGTTTATCACCACTGGTCTAGATCTTATAACATAACCAGATCAAAAAGTAATTACACAAAGAAGATGCTAAAAACGCAAGACTTGTTGTAGCTTACTCTTCAATATGAATATTCTCTGTTTTTAAAAGCAAGAAAAAGCCAAAAACCCCATAAAATGAATGACAAGATTTAAATCTTAAACCGTAAAAACTGTTTTTGGAATCTATCCATAGTTTGAACATGGAACCAATTACTTTTTACTATTGGAAAAGCAATCATTTAACCAAAAAAACCCCAGAAACTGGAAGCCAACTGATTCCCAATACCTATAATAATTACCTCTAAGCATTCATTTTTCCAGCTGGAGGTTTAAAAAAAGCTCAGTACTTCCAAGTTCTCAGCTTTTCCTTGCAATGCTTTGTTAACGTCGACACACAAAACAAGATTCCTAAACTGTACACCACCTAACATGCAGGCTGCTTAGTAAGAATTACTGCATACAGATCAACAAGTTCTCCATGTATGCGTCGAGTACACCTCTGATAGCGACACAGATTTACTTCACAGAATCACAGAATGGTAGGGGTGTGAAGATCTCTGGAGATCATCCACTCCAACCCCTCTGACAGAGCAGGATCACCTACAGCAGGTTGCACAAGACAGCGTCCAGGTGGGTTTTGAATGTCTCCAGAGAAGGAGACTCTACAACCTCTCTGGGCAGCCTGTTCCAGTGCTCTGTCGCTCTCACATCAAAGAAAATATTCCTCATGTTGAGCTCGAACCTCCTGTGTTCCAGTTTGTACCTGTTGCCTTTGTGACTTGTCCTGTCACAGGGCACCACTGAAAAGAATTTGAGTTCATCTTGACACCAGTCTGGCTCTTGACACCCACCATTTAGACATTTATATTTCAGCGTTTTCAATTCGCTAAAGTCTTATGCTGCTCTCTTTAGGTGACAGGTATCTTATTTCTTGTTCTCATCCTTTCCCACAGACCTTAATGCAAAACAACTAAACACCATGCACATTTCAGTTGGCCACCCTGGGCATGTGTTGAGACAAAAAGTTGCCAAATTTTGTCTCAAATGCCATAAAATGAAACAAAAATCATCACAATTCCCAGCTGTTCCTCTCTTTCTCTCCCACATACACACTAACTCCACAATAAGAGGATAAGCTTTCACAGCTCGCCACATCTAGACAGTGTTCTTCATCGCACAGCTGCTTCGATCCGACCCATCACTGCTCTTCACTTTATGCTATTACGGAGGAATCAAGCATTTCTACCACAAAGCCAATCCTACTGATCTTTAGCAAAGAACAGACAGCAATTTCAAGATGGCCCAGATAGCATAAACATATGACTTCAAGAGAATGCCATGTCTATGAACAGCCACCAACCAAGACCTAAGATCAGGCAAGGAGTCTGCAAAAATAAGTCTGCAAAAAGATGTGTTTGCTTTTCAAGTGAAATGCTCTGTTCAAATTAAAAGTTTGTCATTACAAAGCGAAACCAGTGGGATCAGCCTATTCTAAAAGTTATCAACAACACAAAGGCAATTTCTAACGCTAACTAAAGTTAATTAATTTAAACTATAGGAAAATATTTAATGACAATTCCTCTTCCTAAGCTTTTGGTCTTAAGTCTCAAGCAGCTCTCAAATTAAACTTCTCTTCTGCCATGAGATGTCTCAAGACACTCTA